AATTAAATGACTGTGAGTTGATATCACATTTGAGATTTTATTCAAGACCGGTCCAAGACTGAGATAAAATTTAAAATTAAATATTTTAATATATTAAAAATATATTTTTGATGTTTTAAGATGTAAATTATTAAATTATTATAATCAATAGTATTTAATATTTTATTTTTTACTAAAAAATAATTCATCTAAATATTCTAATCATTATTAACAAAAATATAATTGAAAAACAATGCCAAAATTATTTTAAAAAAATATTTAGATATCAAGTCTCTTATGTTAAAAAAAACTCAAAAACTTATTAATGGTTGATATGTTAAATGAATATTATTATTTAACTGATACATAAATAATTTGAAATGATTTTTTAAATCAATTAATTAAATACCTAAATATAAAATAAAAAATGTGAGGTTCCATCTATAATATATTTGTAGTTAAATTTCAGCTAAAATAGATGAATCAAAATAATTTCAGCTAAAATAGATGAATCAAAATGCCTATTGAATAGCCAAATAAGAGTGAGATCGATGAGGCTTGACCTCATTGGCCCATAAAAGTTATGACTTAGTGCCTATTGGATAGGCAAAGCAAAATTATCTTGAATTGCGTTTGTGAAATGGATGAGGCTTGACCTCATTTGCCCATACAAGTTATGACTTATTGATATTTAAGAATTGAGACAGGTTGGAAAAGCAAGACGCAAAAATATATGTGAGAGAGACGTTTAACTAACTTCAAACTCAAATTGCAAAAGTTCAATTTTAATATAAATACAACTTTATTTAAGTTTTTTACAATGACTCAGATGAAACTCAAATTCAAACTAAACACATGCAAATTCAAATGACATACAAATGAAATTGAAATAAATTACATTTAACAACTGTTAGGATGCTAAAATGGAGAACTTAACAAAACTAATAAAAACTCTAAAAATAAGAGAAAAATAAAACTAAAAGATAAAACATTTGATTTTATTGATGTCAATACAAATAGAATACTACACTTTAAATACTACTCTAAACATATTTTAGCCATCCAAGTGGCAGAATCACAAAGACCTTAGAAACTTCTAGAATATAATATTAACTAATATATTAAAATACTAATCAAATACCTAACTAATCGTACCTGATCAGAAAGGAATCAATGACCTGCCACACGTCGTGATCTGATGCCTTCACCGGAGTTGTGGATGAGAAAGGGGTGTACCTGCAAAATACTCGGATGCTTAAGTAAGTACCGGCACTAGAGAGAGCAAGTACATAGAGGAGATGTAAGGAATAAAATACCTGACCCCTTAGTGGAAGAGGATATTTATAATGTGCCTTAAACACAAGGTCAGCGGTTACATTGCATTGGGCCGAATTGCAAAGCCCAACATAAGTAACTGCCAGGGTTTACGTGGCGTAGTGAAGACCAGTATGTGGTATTCGCTCTAGATCAACCGCCCCATGATCTTCGGAAGGTGGGCTTACCATCTCTTTCGAAAGTGGGTAGTTGTCTGATGACGTGCACCTGTGTGGGGGAGCATGTGGAGAACGTGAGGGAAACACGTGGGTTCCCCTGCTAGGAAGACCGTATGCCCGACAAATGTGCCTTGTTGAGGCGCCTGCCCGACGGAGAAAATTGGACCTTGTTGCGCCTCATCATCCTACCCTTGGGTTAGGCCTATTCGGCTGAGGGGCAGACCCCCGACCCAATCCAGAACACTAACTAATAATTAATAAATACTCTATATCATTGCCTCCCGGTTCACTTGAACCTTGTCCTCAAAGTTCTAAAATAAATGATAAAATAGTAATCCAAACTTGAGTCACATACACCTTAATAACCATCCATTTAGAATATACAATATTGTACCTTTTTTTGTGCTGAAAAGTTTACTGCGACATCTCTTAATGCTACCAATGAAAAAGACACTAGACTTCCTCATCAATTCATATGATCCCCGCCAAAACAACCGGTAGGTACCCACTCAAAACAACAGGTAGGTACACTAGCTCAATAAAATTGAAGGGACCCATATGTATAAATATATCACTTGTATTGGAAAAGAAAGAGTCAGAAATTAATAAAACTTTTTCACTCTTCCAGTACGCGACAACATAACACTTCATTTTTTAATTTAAAAGGAAAAAAGACAATAGAGTGATAGACAGCTAGGGATTGGGATCCACTCCATTTCTTTTTCCCTCCATTTTCTCCATTACTATAGTTTTTATGTATATAAAATTAACTAAATATTAATTATATGTCACATATCTTAGAAATGTGTGTTATTTATACACAAAACTATAGTAACGAAGAAAACGAAGGGACAAAGAAATGAAGTGGATCCCAAAAATTTCACAAAAATTGATATGATTTGTTGTTCTGTAACCTACATTGCCAAAAACCAATAGAACATATTTGTTTTTTTTTTTCTTTTCTTTTTCTCTTTCTTCCTTCCCTTTTTTTTTCTCTCTTTCTTTCTGCTTCTTCTTTTTCACTTTCCTTCTCACGTTTTTTTTCTTCTTCTTCTCTTTCTCTTCCCTTTCTACTTCTTCTTTCTTCCTTTTTTTTTTTCCTTCTTTTTTTTTTCTTTTATTTAAAAAAATTAAAATTAAAAAATTAAAATTATTATGAAAATAAAAATCTGGAGATTTTGGTGGTGGTTCAGGTGGTGGTCGCGGCCGAGAATTGATAAGTGGTGATCGTGAGAAAGGTGATGACTTTATTGACTTTGATTGTGGTGACAACATTCTTGTTTTTGTCGGTGTTGAAACTATTTTTTTCAGCAACAAACTTCTCTTTTCTGATGATATATATGCTTTTGCCGATGGCGATTTCTCTTTTTCAGCGGTGGATATGTTTCTGTCGATGAAGAGGTCGGAAATTTCATCGGGGAAGTCGCCAAAAATTTCACCAGATAAGCCGTCGGAAGTTTCAACGAGAACGTTGCAGGAGTCGGACACGCCGCCTGAGACGTTGCCAAAAATATTGTCGGAATCAGAAATTTCGGGAGATGACGCCGAGAATGTTGTTGGAGTTGTCGGAGGATGAGATTGGAGTGAATCTGAAGGGTTTTCAATTTCTTCTTTTTCCTGGAGTTTCCCTGGAGATGTTTCATGCTAAGATCTGTCAAAAACACCAACAGTTTTTGAGAAATTTGCATCTACACTAACACTTTGCTTTATCAAGAATGACGATTCGTGAACCAGTTCTGAAACTCTTTCTTCTTCAATTTCTTCATCTTTTTCTGAATGTTGTTTGATTTGTTTTGTTTTTGAGAAATTTTTTTAAAACAGAGATGAAACACTTAGACTAACTCCAATTTAAGTTTTTAGACGGGTTTGTCAACATGGCATTCATATGTGATATTTTTTGTATTCAAAATTGTCATATTGTTAAACGGTCCTTAATTAAGCAACGATTTTTATATTAAAATATTAATTTATAATATAAAATTATAATTTAATATAAAATTTTATTTATTATTTTAATTATCATATAAAAATTATAATTATAATATTAAAATATTGATTTTTTAATATGAAAATTATATTTTAATTAGAAGTTTAAATTATAAATTTAATTTGAATTTTATTTATTTTATTTTTATTTATTTTAAATTATAATTATAATTATAATTTTTTTTATTTTATATTAAATTTAATTTAAAACACTAAAATTAACTCAGGAGAGATTGAAATATTTTTTTAAGTTTAATTTAATTTTTTTAAAATTTATATAGTAGAATGAAATATTTTTTTTAAAACAACACTATATATCGGTTGGACTATATAGTAGATTGAAATAATTTTTAAAAAAAAAATTAAAATTATTATTTTAAGTGATATAAAATTTAATATGAATAAAATATTAACATATAAAATAAATTTGTGAAATCTAATATGAGTTGTTCAGAATTGAACCATTGGAGTAAAAAATTACTTGAGTTGCTTCAAACTGACGTGACTTAATAGATTTCACAAAAAATCTAAAAATAAATTCAGTGTTAAAATGCTCTAAATGCTTATCAAAATCTCTTCTATTACTAAAATGGGTATGATATTTTTGACCAATTATGGAGGAGGTGTTTGTTGGTTGTTGTTGTTTTTGTATGTGACAATTGTTGTAGTAGTATGAAAAATGAGGTGTATACCCATGATTAAAATATAAGCATGGCGATGAATATTTGGAAAATAAGGTGAAAAAGTTTCTCATGAAAAAGAAGGGAATGAGGTTGTAATAGTGGTGGTATTGAGATGATTAAATGGAGTGGTGAAACATGAAGAAGATGGTATGCCACAAGAGATTTTAATGTTCAAGAATAAAATCACCAATTGTTAGATCTTAAAATGAAAAAACTAATAACAATTTTAAAAATAAGAGAGAGATAAAACTAAAAAAATAATAAAAGATAACATTTAATTTTATTGATGCCAATACAAATAGAATACTACAATTTAAATACTATTTTAAATATAATATATTTTAACCATCCAAGTAGCACAATCACACCGTCTTTAAAAATTTCTAAAATATAATATTAACTAATATATTAAAATACTAATTATATACTTGACTAATAATTAATAAATACACCCTATGAGCAATATTATATATCATGGAACTACACATAATTCTTAACATGCTCTACCAGATTCAAGTTATATTTTCACGATTGTTTTCATCTAATGAATTGATGTTATGGGGTTTCTTCATAGTTGGAAAAATTATCATAAATATAAGCATGTAAATTAACTAATTAATTAATTACCAACTTACTAGTATATGGGTAAATAAAAAGAAAGTTTGTATGTAAAGAAGCATTATAAATAAATAAATAAATAGGAAGAAGAAGAAAAAACATAAAAAAAGAGTAACACGTGTATGGGAGATGTGTGCATAGGTGTCAATATAGGAATCAATTTTCCTTTTCCATTGTATCAAAATTCACACACATATGTATAACGTTTTTCATCAACTCCACCAGAAGAAGAAACTACAACATGGAGGGCAATGAAGTGATGAAGATGATAGTTCCATCAACACAGCTCACCAATGTTGATGTTTCCGGCGACGGCGAGAAACAAAACTTTTTTCCGGAAGAGATAGAGACTTTCTACGTCAAACTCACCAACTTGTTAAACTCCTCTGGACTCACTCTCATGTCAGTATTTTCTCAATACATACTTTTCCCATTTTCTGTATTTCTTTGTTTTGGTTGCGTAAAATTGCATGCATGCATCAAACTAATCTCTTTTTTTCCCTTTCGCGCTTTCTTTCTTTGTATAGTCTAATCGCAATCGCATTACTGAAATGGTTTTTATTGTCCTATGTTCCAATTCTACTTGACAGTTTAAATGTCCGACAAACATCCTTAGACTTGTTCAACTTTTACTTGGAGGTCGTTACAAGAGGAGGATACAAACAGGTACTTGTCAAGTTAAACCCGTTTATGGTAGTATTGCAGTCCTGTAAAGGCTTTCACAGTCGACATGTGTCGCCACACTTATTGTTATCGTCGCGTGCTGAGAAAATTGACCACAATTAGTTGGCACCTGCAGAAACCCTTTTGTTGTGGTGCCCTTCACATGATTCTATTTATTCATATGTTCATTTCTCATAAATGCATGGTTCATTTGTTAGATATTCAAATTGAATGGGTTGATTCTCTTGAATGTTTCCAGGTTGGTAAACAAAAGAAATGGGGTGAAGTTGTTTCAGCTCTAAAACTGGAAGGAAACAATGCAAAGTTACCATCTCAAACTAAAAAGCTCTATGCAAATCTATTATACGAATTTGAGAAAATCTACTTCTACAGGTTTCGTGCAATTCAAACCGCATCTGACACCACCAAAGGTTAATAAAAAAGACTAATTTCTGCTTATTTTAACTTGTTTCACTTTGGTATTAAGTTGAGTATGTGATGTTTAAACTTGAATACACATTTCTTAATTCATTGATTGAATGAAAATGAATGCACTCGAGTGAATACCCTTGTGTGTTTATCTAGAGTATTTTGGTACACCGATAGAAGCATTACCTGAAAGGCTTCTACAAGCACCCTTGAATGACAAAGAAAAGAAGAAGCCACGAGGTGTTCCGAGGGGGGCAAGTGGATATCAAATATTCCTCAAGCACGAATGTGCCCGATTAAAAGCTTGTCGTCAGGACATCGATGGCAAAGCAATCCTGCCCATGGCTGTCGAAGGATGGAAGTATTTGTCGGACATTGATAAACAGGTACAAAAGATGAAATTGACATCACGTAGTCGAAAGATTTTAAGTTTCTTGCTTCGAATTTTGCAGTTATTAGTACTTTTTTGTGTAGCCGTATGTGGAGGAAAGCAAGAAGATGAAGGAAGCAATGATGATTGACAATAATAAACAGGAGAGCACTCAAGATCTTAAAGGGAAAGAAAAGATGCCTAGTATTAGTGGTGACTACTACTGTGTAACTTCACAACCTCCTCAAGCAAATTACTCTTTTGGTGACAAAGCAGCATTGGACTTGGCTTTTAAGATTACAGAAAAAACATCAACTGATCCTTTATTCTTATGTGATTTGGATGCTTATCGTTCGGGAGATTTGCTAAGTGGGATAGCAAGTGGAGAATCCAAATGACCATACTAGTTACTGGGTAAGTATTTTTTGGTTTTTGAGGCAATGTCATTGCCTATGTATCTAATGCTAAGCTGCTATGTATTTATGGTTTTGAAACAGCAGCAACCAATGTTTGCATTAGTGAAGTAAGTAAGTATGTATATCAAATATAATTATAAATGATTGCTTCTTTTGTAATGCAAACATGTTTGCACTAGGGAAGTAGGTATGTATATAAACCAAATATATAGTAAAAAGGGTTGTTTGTTTTGTTGCACTTTTCCATCATCTGAAATTGTGAATGTATTTTTGCCTCATATTTCATGGAAATTATATCATTGCTCAAACATAGATAGAGAACATTACACTGTTAATTACTGTTGAATGATCCACATAACAGAAAGATATAGAATGATGTCAATACAGGTATACCATCATGAAGAAAGACACCAAATGCTAACCTAAGACTGGCCTATCAAACTATGGACTCTCGACTCCCGATGCATTCTCGTGAACAAACATCATAGATGACTGGCCTATCAAAATATGGAGATAAGAAGTGTTACTTCATGATAAACCTGCATATAAAATAAGATACAAATTTTATTTCAAGCAAGAAAACAGAATTTGGATTGAAAAAATAGACTGATTCAACCAAGATGAAGTTACAATCATAACAAAATTGCTATATCAAAAGCTTCACATCTGAATTCCATATGATTGGGTGAAAGTGATGTTACTACTACTATCTTTCATCATTAACTAAAAACCATATCCTCTGCAACTAACCAAAAACCAGCAAACCCTAGAAACCATACACAAAAGCCAAAAAAGTAAAAAACATACCATCTAAGTTAGGATTTTGGAAAAATTTAGGAAAAGTCCAATCTAAGATGAAATTGAAAGAAAAGACTCACAAGTCGGCAGTGGTTCAAAACTCACAACATTTTGACCTTACTCATAATGCTCTGCAAATTTAAGCTTATAATTTTATCTTTTCACCTATTGTATAAAGCCGGTGAAATCCCATCTGTTGTGAATAGGATACCGTTAAACAAAGTATAAATGATTTCTTATCAAGAAACACACAAGGGTTAGGGTTAATAAAGAAGAAAGCAACAAGGAACAACAAGGATTTGTTATTAAACTGCTATTCTTTCATTTCTCTTAGAACAAGATTACAAGTATACAAGAATAACAAAATAACCTCTCTCCCTTGAAATTAGGATTTTATCTTCCTATTTTTCCTTATTCCAAGATTGAGAAACTAACATCCTATTTATAATAAAATAGCACACTAACCTAATGGGCTTTTTAACAATTACCCATTACAAGCTAACTTAGGGTACAAGCTAACTTAAACAATTGGGCTTACAAGCAAGGCCCAATTCAACATGCTAACAACCCTAGCAATATTTACTAATGCATGTTAGAAAAAATTTCGACTACAACACGCATTACTCGCAAACAAACTTCGACTATAATAGAGTTCGGTCCAACATCTCACAAATCTCCACCTTGGATCTAACTCTATAACATCAAGAAATTAGCTTTCTTCATGCAGCTTTATTAACTGCATACAGTGGAAAAACTTGCAACTGGGCAATGTCTTGGTGATCATATCAGCAGCATTATGATCTGTCGAAACCTTCAGCACTTGGATTTCTCCACGCTCGATTACCCCTCTGATGAAATGCAGCCTCACATCAATGTGCTTGGTTCGCTCATGATAGGCTGAATTCTTCGACAGGTGTATTGCACTTTGACTATCACATTTAACAGTGATAACTCGACCTTGAAGTTTTAGCTCATTTGCAAGACCTTCAAGCCACAATGCTTCCTTCACAGCTTCAGTTAGGGAAATATACTCCGCTTCAGTGGTTGATAGGGCAACGACCTTCTGAAGTGTTGCTTTCCAATTGATTGCTGTCCCAAACATAGTGAACACATATCCAGAGATAGATTTTCTGGAATCCATACAACCTGCATAATCAGAGTCGACATATCCATCGATTGCTGCTTTACTATCTTCACCCAAGGCTCCATGATAAATTAGGACTCTATTCAGAGACCCATTTATGTACCTTAAAATCCACTTCAATGCTTGCCAGTGAGCCTTTCCAGGATTCGCCATGTACCTGCTTACAAGACTTACTGCATATGCTATGTCGGGTCTAGTACAGACCATAGCATACATCAAAGAACCTACTATGTTAGCATATGGAATGCTATTCATATAAGTTCTTTCAACATCAGTGCTGGGACACTGATCTATACTCAGCTTGAATTGAGGGTTTGTCGGAGTCACAACAGGCTTTGAATTCGACATACCAAACTTTTCGAGAACCTTCTGTAGGTATGCCTCTTGAGATAAGCATAATTTCGAATGCTTTCTATCTCTCCGGATGTCAATCCCAAGAATCCTGGACGCAGCTCCCAGATCCTTCATTTCGAACTCTTTATTGAGTTCAGCCTTCACCCTCATTACCTCTCCGACATTGTTGCTTGCTATTAGAATATCATCCACATAGAGCAACAAAATAACAAATGAATTACCCGGTCGAAATCTGAAGTAAACACAGTGGTCGAACTGGCTTCTGATGGAACTTATGTGTGCCATGAACTTGTCGAATCTCCTATTCCACTGTCGAGGAGATTGTTTCAGTCCATATAAAGATCTATTCAGTTTGCACATATAATCTTCCTTCCCCCTTTCGACATACCCTTCAGGTTGCCTCATCATGATTGTTTCATCTAGATTACCATACAAGAACGCAGTCTTCACATCCATCTGTTCCAGTTCAAGGTCGAACTGGGCCACCATGGCAAGCAACATTCGAATGGATCTGTGCTTCACAACAGGAGAGAACACATCATTGAAGTCGATACCTTCTTTCTGAGTGAACCCCCTAGCAACCAATCTTGCCTTGTATCTCTTCGACGTCACTCCTTCGATTCCTTCCTTAACTTTGAAAATCCATTTACAGCTGACTAACCTGACTCCAGCAGGTTTCTTGATCAGTTCCCAGGTGTTGTTATCATGAAGAGATTTCATCTCATCATCCATGGCCTTCAGCCATTCAGTCTTCTTTCGACTCCTCATAACTTCCTTATAGTCTCTAGGTTCTTCATCTAGAACCTCACTAGCAGAGATTAAGGCATAAGCTATAAGATCTGCATATCCAAGTCTCTGAGGTGGCTTGATGACTCTCCTCGACCTGTCTCTTGCTAGCAGGTAGTCATTATCAATCTCCTCATCTTCGACAGCATCTTCTGCGTCTTTTTCGACTTCATCTGGGATAAGCAATTCAGCATCAACATGCTCCACCTCAACAGGAATCTCTCCCTGTTCCAGCTCTTCGTCAGCATAATCAGTTTTCTTGAAAGTCATCTCTGCTTCATTGAAAACTACATCTCGATTGGTGATACACCTTCTGTGACCTGGCTCTAGGCACCATAGCCTATAAGCTTTGACTCCTTCAGGGTATCCCATGAACATGCACTTCAGAGCTCTAGGTTCGACCTTGTCTTGCCTAATATGAGCATATGCCACACAACCAAATACTCTCAGTCTGTCGAGACTAGGTGTATGTCCCGACCAAACTTCTTCAGGTGTCTTCATTCCCAAGGCAGTCGAGGGACATCTATTTATCAGGTAAGCTGCTATCGAAACAGCTTCCGCCCAAAACACCTTCTTCAATCCAGCACTAACCAACATGCATCTAACCCTTTCAAGGATTGTTCAATTGAATCTCTCAGCTAAGCCATTTTGTTGAGGAGTACCTGCTACAGTCTTATGCCTTTCAATCCCAAACCTAACACAGTAACTGTCGAAAGCTTCGTTGCAGAATTCAAGTCCATTGACGGTTCTCAACCTCTTAACCTTTCTGCCAGTCTGATTTTCGACTAGAATCTTCCAACTTTTGAAATTCTCAAAAGTTTCATCCTTCGTATTCTGAATGAATACCCATAGTTTTCTGGAATAGTCATCAACGATGGATAGAAAATACCTTGCACCTAAGTGTGAAGGATTCCTTGCAGGCCCCCAAAGATCAGCATGAATGTAATCCAGGGATCCATGTGTTCTTTGGTTGCCTTTGTTAAACTCCGCCCTACAGGATTTACCAAATACACAAGATTCACAAAATTCCAACTTTTCGACTTTGTCACCTCCTAGCAGGTTCTGCTTCCCCAATTCGACCAGGCCTCTTTCGCTGACATGGCCCAATCTCATGTGCCATAATTTTGTCTTCGACATAGATTTCGTAGATGCAACATTTGTCGAACCACTTACAACCTCAACCTCAAGGGTATACAAGCCTTGTTTCTTCACGCCTCTCAAGACTTCCTTCGACCCCTTCATGACTCTTAGGATACTTTTCTCTCCTTGAAAAACATATCCTTTTCTGTCGAATTCACCAAGAGAAATCAAATTTCTCTTCAAGTCAGGTACGTACCTGACTTCAGTCAATAACCTTATTGACTCATCATGGAGCTTGAATCTCACAAATCCAATACCTGTAATTTTGCAAGATTTGTTGTTTCCTAACAGCACAGATCCACCATCTTGATCACATAGCTCCTCGAACAATTCTCTGTTTGGAGTCATATGCCAAGTGCAACCTGAATCCATAATCCACTCTTTCCTCGAGTCGCCACTTGAAACCACAAGAACATCAGATGAGTCAAAGTCATCTTGAACAATGGCTGCATTGCCATTACCTCCATGATCTTTCAGGCGTTCAGGGCACACCTTTCTTATGTGACCCTCCTTCTTACAATGATAACATCGAATACTAGATGTTTCGCCACTATAAGACTTCTGTTGACTTTTACCTTTCTTCTTGTCGAACTTACCATCCTTTCGCAAGAATTTTCCCTTAACGGCCAAACCTTCGCCCACCGTTGAAGGTTTATGCTCCTTTCGTTCGTTTAAGTCCTTAGAATACAAGGCTGATTGAACTTCTTCAAAGGTCAGGGACTCCCTTCCATACAAGAGAGTTTCTTTGAAGTGAGCATGT